CTACTGCTGCTACTACCACTACGACGACGACGACGACGACTACTACTACTACTACTACTACCACAACGTCACTACGACGATGACGACGACGACATACACTAACTACTTTTACTTGTGCGGCGCGTACTGCTAGTGTTGCTTTTGTAGGTACTTGGAAGCATAGCAGCAGCACTCATGGCCAGCATTGTCACCACCGTCATCGTCATCATCATCATCATCATCATCATCACTAATAAGAATAGTCATCATCTTCACCATCCATCATCGTCATCGTCATCGTCATCCTCTTCATCATCATCATCATCACCATCATCATCATCATCATCATCACCATCATCATCGTCACCATCATCATCGTCACCATCATCATCGTCACCATCATCACAATTGTCATCCTCATTGCAATTGTCATCACTATATTTCTACCACGCGAACACTGAGTTGCTCATCCTCATACTAAACATTGAAAAAGTCTGCAGCAGTAGCCAAAAGCAGCAGTACAGCTCCCTGATATCTGAAAAGTCGCCGTCAGGTGGGCGGGCACGAGCCTCATCGCGCCACCCCCCCCGCCACAACACACAGTCCATCCCAGCATCCTCAAAGGTCGAGCGGCTTTGTGGCCTCGTGGAGTTCTTGGGGCGCCCTGTCCGGAGATGTACCACGAGCTGTGATAGGACACATCAGAACGTCCGGCGCAATATTATCTACCACATCTATTTACAGCAGCGTCGGGGAACTCGACCATTGCTGCTGCTGCAGCTGCCACTGCTGCTACTTTGTACTCATCTTATCATTGATGCTGTCATCTTCGGGATCAGGAACTTCGAAGTGATTACTTCTTGACTACCATTGCCTCTTATTACCTCTTATCGAGGTCCCTGCCGGCCGACTTGGTCCGCCCCTCGGAAGTCTCGTGCCTCCTCAGTCCATGATGAGCCTTCGATCTAGTCATCAGATGCCGGATGAAGCAAAGATGGCGGAGGAGCCCTCCAACTGCATGTGAGGTTCTTCACCATCCCAAGCGCGAGGAGATTTTTACGCCGGCGGCCCTAGAGATCATGGTGCTTTGTGAGGAAAGGCGTTCTCTGGGCTCCCCAAGGCCGGAGGGCCATCTTCTGAGAAGGGCCGGCCCGGACCGGCTGGAGGCTATCGAGCCACTGGGTGGCCTCACGTTGCTCAAGGGCGACTCAGCCCCGCGGCCCAAGGCCGTGCTGAAGGCACGCCTGACGGATCAAGCCTGCAGTCGCTGCAGTCAGCATGTTTCTGCCTCTTGTGTGTGTGTGTGTGTGCAGGCGTTGAAGCACGTGCCGGAGAAAGCTCAGCTCCTGGACCTGCTGGGTGCTCTGCTGCATGCGGCTGGAAGCTCAATGAAGGGCTTAAAGAACTGCAAGCTTTTGTGCAGTCGACCCTTGCACACCTCCACCAAAAATCGGTTCGAGACGCTCGGCCACGAGGACCCTGTGAAGCGACCGAGTGCTGCCGCGCTGGCACGGGCGAGGCACCTGCAAGCCTGTGTTTGGCCAAGATGAACTCGCAAAGACATGTCGCCTGGTTGCTAGGCCAACCCCAGACGAATGGAGGAGCACGTCGCGTGGTTTCCCTTATACCATGTAAAGCATCTATACAGATGTACACATGCTTATCCTTCGCAGATGTTCATTTTCGGACTAACCATCGGACTATACAGGACATATGTATGTATGTATATATATATATATATAATATGCATATGTATATGTATATGTAGATGTATTTGTAGATGTATACGTATATTTAGATGTATACATACATATACCTATGCACGTACACATACATGTTGTATTTTACGCAGTATCTCAGTATGGCATTTGCTGCATCGTCCCCTCTTGTTTGCCCTATCAGTTCCTTTACTGCGGATTGCTGCTTGAATTGGCAGTGCATACATGTTGTTTCCAGGGTGTGTGCTGGTTTCATACTTTACGGTAGGCCCGACAGTATTACAAGTGTACATATTACGCATCACCTACTATATCCGGCGTTGGTATACATATATATATATATATGTGTGTGTGTGTGTATGTACACACACACACATACCCCTGCCCCACACCTACACCTACAGATGCATATACATGTACATAGGCATAGAGATAGACATAAACATATAGAGATACACTCGCATACATCAGTGTGTCTATATGTTTGTACATACTCATATTTACACGTATTCATGTACCGTAGCTGAATATAGCAGTGCATATATGTAAATATATGCAAGTGCATGTGTTTGGTGTTCCTGTATATGTATCTGGTGTATGTATTCCGGTGCATCTATGTGTGTATGTACGTACGTTTGCATGTCTCCCTGTCTGCATGTCTGCATGACTGTGTGTCTCTTTGTATGTATGCGTGTGCGTACGCACGCATGCTTGCTGCATATGTATGCATGTATGATCATGCACGTATGTAGGCATGCAGGTATGCATACATGTACGTATGGTATGAACGGGTACAGTCCCTTTAAGTGCATCACAGCCAAGTAGCCAAGTCTTTGTCTAAGGCACGGTTTTCTGTAAGACGGGTTTCCAAAAGACAGGAGTATGTGCAAAACAGGGGTTGCTGCGGGACAGGGGCTCTGTGAAGCAGGGGTTCTTGTTGGATTTCTGCTAGGCAAAGGTTTCTGCTCGACAAAATTTTGGCTTGGCTTGGTTTTGGTCGGGTTTTTTGGCTTGGTTCATAGGGATCCTATGCACAACAAGGTATCGCAGCCATATGTATGTATGTATGTATATATATATATATACATATGTATCTAGAGGGACGTGTATATATATATATATATATAGAGTTTTGTGTATAGATATATGCGTATGTACATGCATGTGTATAAGTATATGTCTACAGTATATTTGTACATGCCCGGTAATAAAGTTTCGTCGCATCCGCTAAAGACACTAAACGGAGTACTCGGAGTACAGGGACTGAGGGTGCAGGACTTGTGGAGAAGTCGAGGGGGGGAAGGGGTCTTTGACAGGTTTGTGGTAAGTGAACAACATAGAGTGCGACGAACTTTCGGACCGGCGCAGTATATGTATATGCATATGTGTACGTGATTGCGCAAGCGTCCGTGTCTCTGTCTGTGCTTTTGCGTGTGGATATGTATGTATGTATGTATGTATGTATGTATGTACGTATGTATGTATGTATGTATTCATGTATGTGGTAGGCCCCAATGCATGCACCTACGGTTTTCGGGTCGTACCTACTGGTATTTGGGAGATTAGGAAGGGTGTTGGATTCACGACGATGGGACTGGCTATGGACCATATTAGACTGAAGTGAGTGCGTGCGACTGACGTCTCTTGCTTCTGAGTTGGTTTGTTTTTTCGTTGGTATTTTCCGGTGTTTTTTTTTGCATTTCTTGGTTGTCACTCGTGTGGGGCAATCCGTCGAGGTCATTGTCAGTGTTTGTTCCAGAATGTTCGTAACATTCCTACACCTCTCCATCCCCGATACAGAGACCCATCCAGGAATCACATCCGTCAACGCTCTCGAATCGACTATGTGGAACAGACTCATCTTGAGTGTTCTCGATTCTGATGATTTGGGTTTTTGATACTGTTAAAAAGTGTTTTCCGGTTAAGCTGGGCAGATCGCATGCCAAGAAGTCCCACCTATCTCGGTTTTAGATTCACACAAGCAGCACGGTTAGGGATGCAGATGGGCATTGTGCCCACTTTGTCTAATTTACGTTGGAGTGCAACAACATAGCAAATACATGTCCATGAACTGCTTTAAGCAACTTCAAGGGACCACATGTTTCAACACACTCGAACCGAGTTTAATTCAAGTAACCAGGAGACTCTACCGAGTATGCTTCGTGAATCGAAACCCGTTCGGTCTAGTTGAGGTATACACACTTCCCAGACACAGCTGCCTGCTTAATTACGGAACGAGTTTTTACCAAACTGTAAGTCTACCCAACAGCCCAGTCAAAGCTATAGCTGGTTGATTGATGCAGTTGATGATCTTTCGTTTGATGTTCAATGCGGCTGTGCATGACTGATCTAGCCCATCCAGAAACATGTGTGGTTCAAGTTTGAAAGATAGCGCAACATTTAACATGACAAGTTATCTGATAAAGTTAAACAAGACACCCTCCCAGCCAGCTGGATGGAATTGCTGGCCGGTCAACAGGAAGAGTTTATTCGATAAGGGTGTTTACTTCACAGTCAGAGTCACAGGCGCCAGGGCAAGCTACGTCAGCCGGCGAATATCCACCAGCCCTGTTTCCCATCAGCAGATGACCGCTCCAGGAAGAACACATTGTCAGATTCTGTCGCAGAAACCAGTGTCAATAAAGAACGAACGGGAAGATTTTGCGTAGATGTGTGCATACGCTTGTGTACACGTATATGTACATATATAACTATATATATATAGGTATACACATGTACAGTACATAATGTTTGCTTCCATATCGTGATATAGTGATGCATTATTAATAAAAGCATGTATTAGCATAAACATAATGAGCAGATAGAGAAGCAGTTAATACAGAAACGCACAGATAAGTACTTGCATATTTACACAAAACCACTATGTGTGCATGCATCTGTATATATATATATATGTACACATATGAACTTTCATATGAGCATACATATACTATCCGACAGCTTGAGAGCTACACTGCATTCAACATCGCTTTGTGCATGACAGGGTGCTTCATCATCGTTTGTCAATTATGCATACAGTAGTTACCTTTCACCAGGTACTGTAGAGATGAAAAATAAGAGGTTAGTCTGTTTATGTACATGCACACACATGGTTATCGTTTTCAAGCAAATAGATTCCACCCGACATCTCCAGGAGTGACTGTGAAGACACGGCTGGTCCTGCCTCCTTGGAAGGTGAAAGCATGCAGGCGACAGGGCAAAGAGGAATTGTAAGAGCACGAATGTTGATGTTGGTAAGCCTGGCGACTTGGCGACTATAGCTACGATACGACAGCAGCAGTAACAAAAGTACCCGTGATACCATGTGTGTAAACAACACAATAACGGTATCATGCGGTATGTACTGATGGGACGAGCAATCTAGTGGAGCATTTTTACATGGCAGTTGCATTCCTGGGTACAGAAACAGCAGCAGTAATCGCAAAGAGAGGGATACACATTGATCCCGCCATTGTGCCTACAGGTAAACAGAAAAGAGATCGTCGAAAAAGAATCTGCTCCTGCGGCGCCTGCCAAGAAGACCGTGGATTTCAATGCGGTCGGCCGGCTCAGGATGCTGGGTAGAAATTCTTTTCTCTTGCCCACAGAAGACAGGAGGTCCCGGAACCGCAGGGTGCCTCTCCATCCAAAGCAGCTCGCAAAGGCGCGGGAGATAGGCTTGAAGTGGTTACGCGAAAGGCAATTCCTGTCCTGTCTGCCTGTGCAGGCACGGGTTTCGTATCGGCAGTTGACCTGCCGTTGACGGATGAGGAGGACGAGCCAGAAGAGGAGGAAGCCGTAAAGTTAGGGTTTGATGATGTTGTGCTGTTGGGGCATGCGTTGAAGAAGGCAAGAAGACAGGACCGCCAAAAAAGGAACTCCGGCAACGTATCGGTGTTGTACTCTGCAGGCCGAAGGCGGCAGAGAGGCCGCCCCTTCGGCGCCTCCCAAAAAGAGTGTGGACTTCGATGCCGCCGGCCACCTCAGACTCGCACTAAGGAACGTCGATTGCCGCAGAGATTGAACTGTTGAGGTGCCGGAACCACGAAGCAGCGCTCCGTCCAAGGCGACGCGCAAAGGCACGGGACATGTCGTTCTGAGCATGCAGGCAAGCAAGACCGGCACATTGGGACGAAGGTACCGGCTTCGTATTGACATCGGACATACCGTTGACGGATGAGGAGGATGAGCCGGATGAGGAGGATGGAATACATGCATCTGACACTGTCGGTGTGCTTTGTCATGTCTCGTCGGATCC